CTGAAATTTGGGATTGCCAAGTTTTCATTACTGTGATTGTCTCTGGATTCCATCATCTTGACTGATAAAAAAACTAAAGGGACATAACTCACTAACTTTCAATAGCTCATGTTCAAATGAAAAAAAAAAAGATACAGTTTCAAAATAAAATTATCGGTGTTTTCAACTTTGCACCTAGAGGGCGTAGCCCAACATATACCATTTTGGAATCAGGTCGACTCCCGGAGCAAATTAAAAACATTCTAGGCCAGAACCGAACCCGGACCCGCAATTGTGGATTTTTGGATTCCCAAGTTTTCATTACTGTGATTGTTTTCACTGATTTTTATGTGATGTTTACAACGAGGTTTCTTTTTTCTATAACTTGGGAATAATTTTGGGAACAATCTAAATTAATTGGGAAATCCAGAGAAAGTCGCCTATGAAATAAAAATACTTGTTTGTACGGAAAGTAAGGACCTACATACATCAAATTATCTTTAAATTAAGTGGGGTCAGAAGAATTATCGTTGAACTTTTAAAAGGTAATGCAATACTTAAATGCAGTAATCAATTTTGAGTTCTTCTATTGTTGCCTATCGCATCTAATCCTCCCTACCTATTGTAATGAAGGCCCAATCAAGATCCCTCCACAGGAGCTAAATTAAATGCCGCCCGCGAAGGCGGTTTTTAAGCTAGTAAATAATAAGTATTAAAATAAATGATAGAAAAATAACGAATTTATGTAGCAACCTAGTGGATGCATTTGTTTTTTTTGTTTTTTTTTTGTTTTTGTTTTTTTCATGTCCTATTTGTTCGGTTTAATTAAATATTGCTGGATTTGTTAAACAAATCAAGTGAAGGTAAAATGTCGACGTGGAACAATGGTTAAGCAAGGGAGTCTAGCAGAACACTCTTCTTCTTCTTTGTGTCGTTTCGGTTTGGGTATGTGAGCGTTCATGGCTATCCACAACTTCCTACTTCTTGTAGCTTATAATAAAATTTTTGACTTTTTAGCACCACCCCCGTTTTGCCATCCATTTGCACAAGTCAGTCAGAAAGGTGGCCCGCTTCCTTCCCACTGCCTTTTCCTTTCCACAATTTCCTGCCTTTTTGCAGTTCTTAATAAATTATGTCTTTTTCTTAACCCCTTCTAAATCTTGTTCCGCCATTCATTTACTCAAGCTCGCTATCTTGATTATGCGTTGTTTTCTCCATTTCCCCCCTCTCTGTCTCTATCTCACTCTCTCTCTCTCACTCTCTCTTGCCTTCAATCTGTCTCGTGAGTGCCAAATTCTCCAAGCCCTCTTTCTTCATCGTGTGTCCCAGAAAGTTCGACCTGTATTAAATGACCTCCATTTGTGACATCCTGTCAGATAAAACTCCATATATATCGTTGTAGTATATACATTTCGCTGGACGAATAAGGCTACCATTTTATTTGAATACAGTAAGTAATTGGTTTGAAAACTAAATTCTTGAATGACATGGCAATCAGATTTATGAAACAACTCCGACTTATCAAATGTTCAAAATTCGTCACTACATATTTATTCTAGTATAGGAAATACTTACTTCGAAACGAGGTCAAAAAGCCTTTCCTCTTCTGTGTATAAATATAGTGAGTTGGCTAAAATGTGCATTCGATGTATTAAGCTGCTATTTTGAGAATGTCGGTTATCTCCCGGGTAGTGGTCCAACGTTGAAGATAAGGTCATTGTTTGGTCTCATCTGTCCTACTCAGTTACGGAGGTACGGTCAGCGAGAGATCCCCAGCACGAAACTTTGTAAACTGCTTATGATGCGTCTGTTCGATTAGTCATTTAAACATTATAAACTAGAGCAATCCTTTTTTTTTCTTTTTTTTTTTTTGTATGTGTTGACTTAAATTTTTACCTTTCTTAAAATACAAAAAGCATAATATGCCAAAAATATTGCTTATCCATTTTTTGTCCATTTTAGAATCAATTAAAAAATTCGCCAAGTTTGGCCATTTATTTTTCAAAATTTCAATACACACTGATATTAAAATTATAAATGCAACCATAAGTGACCCGTTTTATCTAGTTAGTTTAAATTAAATGCTCCTTATGCTAGATAACAAGAAAAACAGATATCTGTCTACATCTCTGAGAAGTGGTATTATGATTACTTGCATTATTTACTTAATATGAACTGCTATCCTCATATTCACAACGTTTCGACCGTTGTACGCTCTGGCCTTCTTCAGGTGATTAGAATTTCGAACCGAATCCTTTATTTCGTCCACCGAGTTAGATTGTTCTAGTTTCACATGCCATGCCTCTTCCGGCTATCTCAGTTATTTCCCTTTAACTCTCCAAGTTTTTTGGTTCGCCATTACTGTGGCCTGGTATTGAACTCACCACTCTTTGTGCCTAGTCACTGGATATAGCCAACGTCTTTACCCACTAAACCATGTATCCTTGAGGACAAAAACTTGGTAAGTTGATTTAAAGTGGAATAATTGAGACATCCGGAAGAGACATGGAAGGTGGAACTAGAACAATCTACCCCGGTGGACGAAATACAGGGTTCAGTTCGAAATTCCAATCACCTGAACAAAGCCGGGGCGTACAGCATCCGAAACGTTGTGAATATGGCAATGAAGATGAGGATATCAGTTCGAATAATGTAAATAATGCAAATAAGAAAAACAGAATAAACTTTCAAGGCTACCCAATATTAGTTAATATAAATAGTTGCTTTAATAATAAGTTTTCCCTAGAAATTTATATTTAATACCAGATTTTTATAAACTTGTGATTAATATTGGATTTTTAAAAACCTATAATTAATACTGTTTCGTTAAGTATTTTTTATTATTCAGGCCGTCTGACGATTGCATCAGCATGAAACAGCCTGCCTCTGAGTGTTGACTCAATCTTCTTACTTATATATATATATATATATATATATATATATATATATATATATATATGTTTTGCGCGCGCGCGTGTGTGTGTGTGTGTGCGTGTGTGTGCGTGCGTGTTTGTAGGATATATTATAGTATCCGAAACAAAAGTAGGGATGATGAGACAACGTTAAAAAATCTACAAACGACGCGTTTCACAGACGCCAGTTAAGTTTCTTGGCTTCTTTAGGCCAGAATGAAAGGCAATGTATAAGGTAAATGCTTTGGTAGTTTTTAAAGTTTTATTATATATATATATATATATATATATATATATATATATATATATATATATATATATATATATATATGTATGTATGTAACTTTTATTTATATTTATTTTTTTTAAAAATATGATTCCATCGCTACATAAGAGTTCTCATGTTTCAAAAACAAGAGCCAAAAACTTCAATATAATTGTTAAAATTAAATTGAATTAAAGTATCAAGCTCTGTTTCATCCTAAAGCGAAATTTTTGGAATAACTAATCTTGTAATTTACGCATTTTTGTAAGCAGATTCATTCGTAAAATTCATTACTATGGAAATGGCTGAAGCAATTATTTCAATAAAAGGCGTAAGGGTTAACAATTTGCATCAACATATCGGTCACCCTCGGGAAGAGGCCAAGCCAAGGCAGGGTTGGGGTGTCCATTTCAAAGAGAATTATGACATTCCTATACCCTTATAAAATTCCGCTAATAAACATGCGTAAACTTTAGTTATTCAAAAAAATTTCGCTTGAGGATGAAACAGAGCTTTTTAAATTTTATCATATTTAAAAATAAAAAATAATTATATTTTTAATTTAAGTTCTAGGTATGTATTGAGCACTGTTTTTTAAAAATAAAAACAAAAATATTAAAGAACTTCGGATTATTTACCTAACGGTTCTTTCCTATTTGTTCTATATATTTGCACACATATATGTAACGCTTATATATATATATATATATATATATATGTGTGTGTGTGTGTGTGTGTGTGTCTGTGTGTGTGTGTGTGTGTCTGTGTGTGTGTGTGTGTGTGCGTGTGCGCGTGTGAGTTTATAATGGTGCTCGACATGTAAAGGGATATTTTTGAACGAGTATTCAACTCCCGCTTCATTTCTTTGTTTATATATATTTTATTTTCCATAAAAACAAAATGGACATGTGTCCGAGTGGTTAGAACGTTCGAATCTCCACATGATTGATTTGTCAGAGAGGTGACGTCTTCATGTCGTCGGACTGAGGGAGGCGATCCATGCCTTTTCTGGATATGTCAGTGTCACACATGGCCCAGTGGATAAAAAAAAAAAAAAACGTTGGTTAAAGTAAACCAATGGCTTCACCCAAATGATTCTGAGTTCAATTCCTGGCTAGAGCAGAGGTAAACAAAAGCTTGGAGAGTTCAGTTGCTAAAAGGAAATAACTGAAACTGAGATAACCAGAAATGGCATGGCACGTGGAATTAGAACAACCTACCCCTGTCGACGAAATAAAGATTTCGGTTCGAACATCGAACGTATATCACCTGCAGAAGGCCAGGGCGTACAACGACCGAAACGTCATGAATAGGACAATAAAGATGAGGACAACAGTCTGAATAATGTAAATAGTGTAAATAGTTACAATACCTCATCTCAGAAATATAGACAGAAGGCCTAAGCCTACAATGGCCGAAACGTCGTGAATAAAAAAAATAAAGATGAGGACAACAGTCCGAATAATGTAAATAGTTACAATACCTCATCTCAGAAATATAGACAGAAGGCCTAAGCCTACAATGGCCGAAACGTCGTGAATATGGCAATAAAGATGAGGACAACAGTCCGAATAATGTAAATAGTGTAAATAGTTACAATACCTCATCTCAGAAATATAGACAGAAGGCCTAAGCCTACAATGGCCGAAACGTCGTGAATATGGCAATGAAGATGAGGACAACAGTCCGAATAATGTAAATAGTGTAAATAGTTACAATACCTCATCTCAGAAATATAGGTTGGATATGATTAGAAATATTTGAGAACAACAAAAGCTGATCGCCCATTTCTTGAAAGGACTTGGAACATGAAAAAGAATTGTGCAAAATAAACCCTCTATTAAATGGTTTGTTTGGCCATATTGCTAACATTTGTGCTGTGCACTGCAAACACTTGGCCTGTGCGTTATTATGTCCATAGAAGAATAAGCTCGGTTACCTAGAGATTTTTCTTTAAATAGACAAAACTTATCTTGCTGATATCAATCTATTGACGACTCATAAAATATCTGTTTGTGATCAAGCGAAACTTTATCCAAACTACCCACTTCTTCCTCTTTTTTTTCTCTCTCTTTGCTGCCTACTAGTTCTTTTTTGTTTCTCTCTCGTAAGACGAGAGTTCAATCCGCCTCGTCACTAGGATATCTAATTGCGAAAGGACATTGTTCACTCTCTCCCCAAACTCTCATTTCTAATTTTCATTCTTCTTTCTTTCTTTCTTTCTTTCTTTCTTTCTTTCTTTCTTTCTTTCTTTGCTGCCAACTGGTTCTTTTTTTCTCTCTCTCTCGTAAGACGGGAGTTCAATCCGCCATTCCCCAGACTCTCATTTCTAATTTTCATTCGTCTTTCTTTCTTTCTTTCTTTCTTTCTTTCTTTCTTTCTTTCTTTCTTTCTTTCTTCTTTCTTTTTTCTTTCTTTCTTTCTTTCTTTTTCATCCCTTCTTTCTTTTTCTCACCGCATTTCTCCTTTCTTTCTTTCTTTCTTTCTTTCTTTCTTTCTTTCTTTCTTTGCTGCCAACTGGTTCTTTTTTTCTCTCTCTCGTAAGATGGGAGTTCAATCCATATTCCCAAACTCTCATTTCTAATTTTCATTCGTCTTTCTTTCTTTTCTTTCTTTTCTTCTTTCTTTCTTTCTTTCTTTCTTTCTTATCCCTTCTTTCTTTTTCTCACCGTATTTCTCCTTTCTTTCTTTCTTTCTTTCTTTCTTTTTTCTTTCTTTCTTTCTTTTTCATCCCTTCTTTCTTTTTCTTACCGTATTTCTCCTTTCTTTCTTTCTTTCTTTCATGATCTCTTCCTGTTGTTTCGTATTCTTTTCCTTCTTGTTGTGTTTGTGTGTGTGTGTGTGTATGTGTGCGTGTGTATGTGCTTGAATTTCTTTCTCAACTTTTTCTTCTTTCCGAGTATTTTGAGCTATCGACTTTCTTACATTTCCAAGTTTCGCTTTCCTTTCTATTGTAATCTCTCTCTCTCTCTCTCTCACTCTCTCGTTCTCTCTCTCGTTCTCTCTCTCTCTCACTCTCTCTATTTCTTTTCTGTTTTACTTTCTATCTTTTTTCCTTTTTATCTAATTTGCTTTTATTTTTATTTTTCATTTTATCTTTCATTTTTCTTTTGATCTTTTTTATCTTTTTCTTTTTGTCTTTCATTTTTCTTTTTGTCTTTCCTTTTATTTTTTCTTTTCACCTCTTATCTTTTTTTTAAATTTTTTCTTTTTAACTTTTTCTTTTTATCATTCTCTATCTTTTTATCTTTTTTTTTTTTTTTTTCATTTTCTTAACTTTTTCCTTCTATAATTCTTTCATCATTTTGTCACTTTTCGTTTTATCTTTCCGATTTTATCTTTTTTCTTCTTCATCATTCTTTTTACCGTTTTTTTTTTCTACTTATCGTTTTTCTTATCTTTCTTCTTCACTTCTCTCTACATAATTTTCTTTGGGAATTGGATAAAGAGAGAGAGAGAGAGACAGACAGACAGAAAGCAAGAAAGAGAGTGGTCTATATCTTCTCTAACTTCTCTCTCGTCTCTCTATTGCTATTTATTTTTACTCTCTCTATATTCTCTCTACACTTATTTTTGCCCACCCTCTCTTTCCTTTTCACTTTCCGTCTTTAATCTCCTCTGGACTGGATCTTTCTAACTTTCCCGCCCACTTTCCCAACTTCTCCGAATTTTAGTTCCTATGCTTTCCCCACCCGCTGTAGCCTTTTACTTCTTTCCTCCTTAATAGCCTTTCTAATCACTCTCTCTTTCCTTCCCTCTTTTGATTCTACCTCTCTTTTTATGATTCTTTATTTCTGTCTTCATCTCGCTATCACATGAATTCTTAAGTTTTCTAAAATATTTCTTCCTACTACTCGCTTTTCTCTCTCTCCATTTTCACTTTCTTTATACTATTTATCACACCCTTTCAGTCTTTAACTCACCCTTTCTCTCTTTCACTCATACTTTCTCTATATGCTTTTTATCTCCCGACCCCCTTTCTCTCTCTCTCTCTCACTCTCTCTCTCTCTCTCTGCTTTCTCATCCTTTATACAATCTATCAAACCCTTTCACTCACACTTTGTCTATATGCTTAATTTCTCCCTCCTCTCTCATTACACACACACACACGCGCACACACACGCACAAACACACACACACACACACACACACATATATATATATATATATATATGCATGTATGCATAGAGGGTGCTTTCACCTCATTCTCTTCTTTCCATTTTTCTCTCAACCGACATAGATAAAATATGCATATTTTTGTATATATATATATATATATATATAGTTCCTGTGCATAGATCTACTTATATATGCATACTCAAACATATATATATATGTGTGTGT